AAGCAGCCTTTAAAAGCTGAGGCTGGGGAACACTTTGAGAACCAAGAAACTACAGGGCATAGAGCTGCCAAACTCTTAAAACTCTCAACTGAGCACATGCCAACTGAGATTTTTGAAAAGCTTGTGAAAATAAAAGGCAGTGCCCTGGCACTAGAACAATGGCTATCCACTTGTTCTATTTCTAGCTGTTGCTCCAAAGCGCAGACACAGTAAAACTCAATGAAAAATTTAAAAATGATCACAGTCAAACTTTTTTTTTTAACCTAGACTCAGTTTAAGAAATGTCTGGATGGAATTTTCTTAAAACCTTTTTAAAGCAAGTTACGTGGAAAATTTCAGACCAAACGATTATTCTTTGGCAAGGTTACATGTAACTGAAAACAGGACCTTAAAATGGGAAACAGTGGGCAACCTGAATGCAGGAAAGTACTTCCAAGTCAATCTCAATATAATAACTGAAATTGCATAAGCGGCGCAGGTGGTTAAAGCTCAAGAGAAACACAGGTTCTAAATTAAGCATTTATTTATGTTTACATTTTTCAAATACTTCACCATTATTTTAAATAAATATTTCAGCATTATTTTAAAACTACTCCAAAAATGCAAAGATTCGCAAAAAGATTTCTAACTCACACACTCTAGTGTCCTCTTTTATAATAGGCAGTCAATCAACGGAGCAAAGACTTAGCCAAAACTGATGGACTTAAATGATAACCTCTCCTTCTCTTACCCTGGCAGCCTACATATAGAGGTCACTTGACAGCACTTCCACAGTTTGCCTCAACCGTCTCATCACCTCTGACTCTATTTATGAACAAGCAAACTCCTCATAAATTTGACGATACAGAAATATGTTCTCTGTATCCAAAACTGCCCCTTGACAGACAGTGTACTGCTTTTCTCCTTTCTGTAAGAAAATCAATCAATACGGGAAGTATTGCAAGTATCTGATCAGTTTTCAGAAATCCAAAGTATCTTCCTCTGACACTCTTGACCCCTTGCAATGTGAACTGCATTTTCCTTTCATCTCAGTGATTACACTCAGTTATACTACCTTTTAGAAGAATGCAGTGCATTGTCACTTTTCTAAACGGAATGTTGGTATCAGAATTCACTGAAATTCTTAATGTCTTCCCAGCACTACCTTGTTCTAGCCTTGGTTTCATGTAACCAAAGACAAATGAAGTATACAGCTCATGTGAAGAGAACCATGGAAGAAAACAGACTCTCTCCAAAGCGATACCACTGAGTATACCACACAGTATAAACATAGCAGATTAATACTTCCATTTCAGGTGTACTTCTTACTCATGTAACTGCAGTTTATATACCACAGGTTGGAAAACATGCATTGGCTTATAGAGAGTGGAGCATGCAGTTCACTTGGGGATGTATAATGTATTCTTCCATCAGCAACATAAGATTTTCTTTAAATTTGGCTTCTCCAAAGGAAGATGGCTCAATGCCCACTGGAACAAATGTGGGCATACTGTCTCTCCTGACTCTGATTCACTCAAATCCCAAATGCAAACATTTCATCAAAGAGAAAGGGTATTTCTGATATCAACAGTAGATGGTACTATGTGATGCAAATGGTTTATTTTTAGTAAGAAGATTGCTGCCTCTGCTGACTAAATCGATTATACCTTATACCCATAATTGCTGGCTGACAATCAGCAAAATTCAACATTATGTAATGACTAAGAATTGCAATACACAAGCAAGCATTTATTCATAGAGCCTGAACTGGATACTAGATACACTGGGAACCATCAGATAAAACAGTTAACTACTTGAATACTATAAGAAAGCCATAGAATATGAAGATTAAGAGATGTCTTTCTTTATGAGACAGTTGTTGCATATCTACATTTCTGCATTACGCTGTTGGGGATTCCAAACAAGCAGTCTGAAACTCAGTTACACTTCTTTGGTTTCTGCAGGAGAACATCCACTTGATAACCAAATACTGGACTGAAAATGCAATTCATAAAAAAGATGCGTTTACATTGTTTCAAATTGGGGTAGTAAGCAGACCACCATCCCCCAAAAATTTGCTGCCAGGACTTCAGGAACAGACACCAGTTGGAAAAAACAATTAAGTGGAGGGTTCAAATCAGTAGGCAGGTAAGAGGTCCTTCATCAGCTATTTGCCAATCCTACCATATGGGACTTACCAAAGAAAGAAAGTGGCAGGTTGGAGCAGAAATCTGCTTTGCTCATTTTGCATTGGTTTAATGTACCTTTGCATGTGAGTTGAAGCAACCTCTTGGCTGTTCTAACTCATATCCAGGCCAGACTAGTGCTCTGTCTCCCAGGAACAGAACTTGGCTACTCGTGAAAACTGACCTTGTAGGCTCCAAACCCTTCCACAGTGTAATTTGTTGTGTTTCCCAGTCCAAAGTGGAATGAAAGTATACATTATTACAGACATATTCAAGAAGTGTTCAGGACTAAGTGCTCCGGTTTTTAAGCAGCTTGCTGTATGAAGACCGTAATTAACCTTGCAAAACCACTTTCCAACCAGTCTTTTTAAAAAATCTCATATAAACACTAGTGCTATTAGCAGAGGCACTAATATGGAATCTAAGGAAGAATCTATGTAAACGCAAACTCTGCTTGAATGCAAACTAGTTCCAGTAAGCCCTTGTGCTAAGCCACAATATCATGTGTCCTTTACATGCCATATATCTTAAAAGTATTCAAGAAAATACTTAAGATGTCTTCAAAACTTCTTTTTGCATACTTTAATTCCTAGCATTTATTTAGGATCACCTAAATTGGCAGGTATCACATGTGAAAAATACAACCTGAATTTTCAAATCAGGTAAATAAATAAGAATTACCACTCAGAAACTGCTTAAAATAATCTCAGTAGATTTCATACAAACAAATCCCAGACATTAAACTTGAATATATTATGATATGATCTCCTTGTAATATTAAAGGCCTTACTTCAAAATCTGTAACTTCACAAGACCAAAGGTTTCTCCATCCCTAGGACCGGATTAATTTATGGGAAAAAACAGCATGGGAAACCTGGAAATATTTCTCTCCCTAGTTTCCTTTTTTTTCTTTTCTTTTTTTTCGTTCATTTCTTGATGGTGGCTGTGTTCAGAAAATTGGTTGTAAGTACACATAGGAGAGAAAATTTACTGAATAGAATACAAATGAGGAAAACCACATTTATGATATTATTAATATAAATCCTTTGGATCTATTCAAATACACAGGCTAAGATTTGGAAATGAGTAAGCACCCTCCATATACTGAAACTGAATAGAATCTGAAAGGAGGCAAAATCAATACATTTTCACCCTGAATCTTTTGTTAGCACTGTGCAACAGAGTACTACAAATACAAAAAAGTGACTAGGATCTTTAGTCATTGGCATATTTTTTCTCCATCTCCACGTGCGGAGCTTTAATATAGTCTTGTCTTTGTTCCTATCATAGCAACTATTAATTTGGAAAAAAAAATACTAGTCCATAGGCAGTAACATGGATTTCCCATTGGTATAGTCACCAAAGTTCACAGAGAAAAAAGGTTGTGTAAAGTGTAAGCTTCTCAGTGTGTTTTAAGATGTCACAATTAGCGATAGCTTGGTTGTAGGTATTGTGTGCTATAACACTTTGAAACTTGCAATTACAACAATCATTTGTTAGAAAATGCACACAAAATATCATATCAAATAAAAACCATAAATTACAAGCAACCTCTGTTCATTAAGAAATAATTAGAAAAACTTTCAGCAGAATGAAATTTACGCACATGCGATTTTATCTGCATGTGCAGATTGTTTAGAATGAACTTAAGGATTTTAAGACTGAGATTAAGAAGAGATTAAAAAGTTTTTTTTTTTAAATAATAGCATTATATTAACCTTTCAAAATACCTTTGTTTCTAATGACTGCATTAAGAAAATCTAATTATAATCATACAAGTGCTGCACTAAAGATTGCCAGCTCTTCAATTACTAACTCTTATTCTCATGACTATAACTCAACAGCAAAAAAGCAATCTGTGTTGAATATTGGCCCATGGTTTCTTCAAAAAATCATTAAAGATGGAAGTATAATTCTGCTGCTATGAATTACATACAATTTGAAATGAGTATTGTGTGACAATTACTTCCTTCAAAGGAGCTGCCTGCCCCCAGAGGAAACTGGTTTTCTTCAGAATTTAATAGAATCAATCTCCTAGCACTTAGAAACATCTGATTTCAGGCAGGATTTGGGGTAGAGCATTCCACCTTAGACCTGCTAATATTATCCAACACAACACTAAGTAATGCAAAAGGTTTTGAAATACAGATTTACCTGATAAATCTCCAGTATTTCTGCTGCTCCATAAAACACATTAAAGATATATATTAGACACAAATAGTAAAACCCTGCAGTTGAGAAAATGCTTGTAAGATGGAAACTTTTCTGAGCTAAAGGTAAAAGGACTATGGAGCTACACTATCCATGTTTTTTACAGCTGAGGAACTTATCCCATTAGAAAAAACAGATTTGTGTCAACATGCAGAAGTTGAGAATTTTTATTTTTCATACTATATTAATCTCTGTTCATGGTAGCCTAACACCACCCCAAAACTTTCTTCAACGTTCAAGAACAGACACCACTAAAAGAAGCCTGATGAATGCAATAGGCGACCTACAGTAGCCTGCAGAGTACAGCAGATCTGGGCAGTACTGTCAGGGTACTGTGAGACATTGTGAGGATCCCATACACCATTTAGTGGAAACTACCTGTGCTCAACACTGTTTCAAGTTATTTCAACACTGAGTACTCTGCTGTCATTTCCATGGTGTAAGCTTTCTTGCATGTGAAAAAAGCACGTGGATCTTTCCTGCCCTTGGAAGGGTACTGTGAATTACTACAACAAAGTTTACAAAGCACTTTGAGATCCCTGGATAAAGGTGCTGGATCAGTGAGAAAGATCTTTTCGTATGCTTATTTTTTTTTTTTTTTTCGGAGTATAACTCAGATCTTACTTTGCTTCCAGTGCCAGTGCAATGATGCCTGCAGCCATAGGTGCAGAGGCTGAGGTTCCAGTATGGCTGTCTGTGCAACGCTGCCTCAGGTCTGTGGTGATCTGGAAGAAATTGAATGTGTGAAATTTAGAACACAACTTCAGAAATCAGAACAGGTTTCATTTGCTTGAATGAGTTGCAGGTACATGGAAGTATTTCCTTCTTTCACTGCAAGGAAAGGCAAAAAAAAAGGTGTCTGAATACGTGATGTTACATGTTCTGAGCTTGAAGTCACTTGTGAACTTGGAGAAGTGTTCTCTGTATCGCACTGAAAACATAAGTTAGTCTCCATTTTTTTCATGGCATGATCAACAAAAAGACTTGTAAATTAGAAAAATGTACAGAGGGTTTTAAAACTGCACAGTTAGAACTCTGCCCTTCTATTTGCATTTACAGAGCACTTTCCATCCAAGAATCTCAAAGTGCTTTACAAACAGGAATGAACTAAATCTTACAGTGCTCCCTATATACAGACTGGTTATGCCCATTTTAGAGACTATAAAAGAGGTATGGAGAGGTAATTAGGTTGCCTGAAGTCAGACTGGAAGTATGTGGAAGAATAGAATACAGTTGGGCCCATGCCAAGTACCATGTTTAATCCTTCCTTCATGCCTTATGCAATAATTCACATGAAATTAAGCAACAATTCATTGAAAAACCCTGATGTAATCACAAATTAGCCCAGACATCACCAGCCAATTAGTTATTTGCAGCTTTAAATTGTTATGTATAGCTTAATTATATGCTGCTACATATTTTTATATGTCATCTAAGTGGATGTATAAACTATAATGTACAATACCAACTAGAGGCACAGCCTTCTACTTAGTGTTAGGATGTTTCTATCTCATAATGAATTTTAGGCAGATTCTTTCTGTAAGACAGTAAATCACACACAAAAATGTGTTTATTCTAAATTCTGCTTCATTCAGGCAATGTTAATCTAAAGTGATTCTAATCTATGCTCTTCTTTCCGAAGCAGTGGTTCCTAGCAAGAGCAAGGCAGTACAGACAAAAGTCACTGCTACCTAACAGAAGCTCAAGCAAAACCCACATGGACTTGAGAACAGATACTAGCAGACAGCAGTCCACAGCACGGAAACCTTCATGAAGGTGGCAGAGTGAATGACCTGTGACGCCAAACCTTATTCTCAGCATTTCAGCTGATCCCTGAGATTCAGTCACTAGTAGACATATCTGCCTGAGGGGCAGAGAAGAAGTTGCTTACACAGCTTCTTACCTAAGTATACAGAATTATTGTGTCTCCATTTCATCTAATTCACTAGTATCATATGTCATTTGCCACACGGATGTGCACAAAGATGGCAGAAGGATCGAAAACTCACAAAAAAGCACAGGGCATGTAGAAATGCCTATCTAGTTTTGAAACTGGAAGATACGCAAGACATGATCTGAAAAAACAGCCACATCCTATCTGGGCAGAATACAAGCAATTGCATGTAGGAGGTATAACTTCCAAAATGGAAGCTTCTAGAAGTTGAAAAAGATGGATTAAAGCATTTATAATGTCATATCCTTACATTAGTGAACTTACCAAAGGCCATATTCAAGAATAAAAAAGTCTAGAAAGAACCCTTTGTTCCCTATTATTTAATGCACACCTTGTTAAACAATTTCTTTTATCTGTCATCAGCTAAAAGTTGAACCCCATAAATAAAATGTACATATAATTTCTTTATCTCTTTCCTTCCCTCCTATTGACTGTGTATTAATTTAGACAATGAAAATTAATAGTGTTGGAAAAACCTTCTTGCATACAAACTCCAAAAATGCCCTGACAATATTAAGAGATGAAACTGCAGTAGAAACAGCCCTAACACTATGCTGCCTACATGTGCAAACGCAAGTAGTGATTTTGCAGGTGGGATTAACATGGCCAAGGACCACAGGATGACATGCACCCAAAAAGAGACATACAAGATTCAGGTATCCCATCTGGAAAAACACTGGTCAGTGCTGTGGTGAGGAGTGGAAGGGAGGGCAGGAAAGAGAGAGGGCAGAAAAAGGGACTAATACATGCTTCTCTCTTTTGTAGGCAGGTACCTTGTCCCCTTCAAAAAAAGTGGTGCAGCAGGTGCTTTCCTCAGAGGACCAAAGGGTAACAAAGCCTACAGGAACTCAGGCAGGGAGAAATGCCCTCATAGCAGCTTTTCCTTAAGAGACAGCCTCTCTCAATGCAGTGAAAAGCACACTGCATTGTGCTATCTGTGTTTCTCATCCTCTGGAAGAACATGCTTTCATAGTGTTTTTATTGTCTTGTAGCTACAGATATCAAGCACAATAAACCATGGCACCTCTTTATTTGGCAACGTTGTCTCTCACGTTCTCAGTGGATGTTGTGGTAGCAGTTTGAACTACAAACCCTTATCTCTCTCTTTCACTCAGCAAATGTTTCAGCAGC